GAGTTACTCTCTTTACGTTTGCTATTAAGAAAAGACCAAAAAGGCTTTGTATTGTTGCGTAACTCGGTCTCAGTAGAGGCAACATAATTTTTATAATATTCAGACCTTAACTTTTTGCTACGTGCACGAAGTAGACAGAAAACATCATATTCTCGAGGATTTTTAGTTTTTTTATATAATTTGTGAAATTTTTGTTTCTCGGCAATTCACTTTTTTAAGCTGTAGTTTTTTTTTTAGTAAGATAAGGGTGACAAACGCACACACTGTCCACCTAATGGTAAGTGGTTGCTGCAGCCCATAGACATTCTACATCTATCCTCGATTACAAATCAAAATGCAGATGCGTCGTCTCCCGTGAGGACTAAGATGGAATGCCTCGTTTCCAGTAAAAAGAGCCTCTTGTTCTCTTCACTCACCATACGAAACACAGCAGCGTTAAGCTGCTATTTTACGCTGGTATTTTGTGAGAGCGTGGTCCTTCCCCGGTCGAGCCGACCCATTCGTGCTACAACTGTACTACTAATATAGCTACAGTATGGCTCTACCACGTAAAGAACGTAGTTTAACCAAACAGAGTAATTATCCTTCATTTTATGTGAATACGGGGTGTGTTTCCTGATAACGTTAAGCAAAGTGTCATAAAATACATCAATATTTTCATTTATGTCAGAAGAAGACAACAGGGATGACCAATGTATGTCAGAGAGTTCAGTTTTTACTCTATCAAAATTACATTTTTATAATTTAATCATTTGGAAGGTTTAAGTGTAACTCTGTAACTCTGTTGAGAGCCAGGCGAGGTTTTTCAATAGTAAGAGCTGTATGATGTGTGTCCAAACCACTTAAAGGAGCACTTATTAACAATGACATTCTCAAATGTACAAAACACCAAGCCTAAGAACCGAACATTCCTGTTGGGCATTCCATTAAACTGATATAGACCACATAATGAAGCAATTTTACATGAGGCTCGACTTGCGGTCAGTGGAGGTAAAGGTGCCAAGTAGGAGAGACCTGAGATATCTCTCCACTGTATACCAGGGTTATTGTAGTCTCGGACACAAATAAATTTATTATTATCGTTCGCCTCTAAAATAATATTTTGGTAGTTAATGTAAAGTATAATAAGATCGTCTATGGTGACATAGGAAGGTAAGTAATTAACGCAGACATTCAAATTGCAGTGATTAGAAGAGTTCGACCGAATCCAAATGTCTTCCAGGTGAGTTTCCCATAACTGTTGACGAATAACATTAAATGTTTTTTTAATAGTAATTACAACTCCGCCGTCGTCCTTTTTTATATTACTTGTAGCTTTTCTATCCCTACTATATATACTTTCATATGGATTTAGTAAAAAACTGTTATTTTGAAATTACAAACAGACACTTCAATTTTATTTATTTGTATAGATGTAGTCGTTGGCCACAGCTGAGAATCAAACCCCGCATCATCTCCAAATCTTCTGGTGCCACGAAATGCTTGCGCTCACAAAGGTATTCACTCATTCTTACCTACCCAGGATCGATATAACTTGTAAGCAATTTAAGTTTGTAAGCTGTGTATAATGCAGTATCAGAGACACGAGTACATTCACAATACTACAAACCAGAAAAGCAACTATTCGTTTTTACTCATATACTTATAAAAATGTTGGCTTTGACAGAGATATGAACCTCGATAAAATATATAAAATATGGCCCTCAATAAAATAGTCAAGTTTCTGGCCACTAGGACATAGAATTGTCTTTATACATTTATTACACACTTCTTCCACTTCATCAGCCACTGCCAGAAATAGGCCTCACTCGATGTGTGGGCAGGAGTTGTCTTCAACGTCACGCTTTACAGGCGGACTGAAAACCGCAATATCAGACGTATCACCTTCTACAGGCCAGGAGACGAAAAGCTGCACCGAAGGTGCGCAGTGGCGTAGGTATGTAATCAATGGCCCGGGGGCAAAACTGAAATTGGGGCCCTTTTTTATAGGAGAAGGGTGACAAACGAGCACACTGTCCACCTGATGGTAAGTGGTTGCTGCAGCCCATAGACATCTACATCTATCCTCTTTTACAAATCAAAATGTAGATGCGTTGTCACTCGTGAGGACTAAGATGGAATGCCTCATTTCCAGTAAAAAGGGCCTCCGGCCACCTGCACTCACCAAGCGAAACGCAGAGGTAAACCTCTACTTCACGCTGGTTTTCTGTGAGGTCGTGGTACTACCCCGGTTCGAGCCGGCCCATCCGTGCGACAGCAAAAGCTGCCGCGTGGCTCTACCACTGATTCCTATTTATTTGTTTGCCCTATTTCAAACTAAACTAAATACTGTTGCGCGCCACTAATATCTTGTACATGGCAGCACTAGTTACCACTAGCGCCCTCTAGTGTCGAGTAGCAGAACTAGGAGAGTCAATATCCTTCTAGAAATTTCGGGACCGATATGTACTCGAATATTCTAGATGTTTCTACAGTAGAATATTCTGGAAACTATCTGAGGCCCAATATAAGGCCGGTATAGACCACGACCGAGTCAGTATTGAATTGACTATACAAGCGAATACTTCGAAGCGAAATAACTGCGGACTAAAGTGATCAGTAGTACAATTGTGTTTTATTATTAGTGTGGTTTTAAGTTGTAATTAGTGTTTTGTAATTAAAGTGTCAATTATGGTAATTCGCTCGGCAGTTTTAGTTCTCTCGAACCCCAAGCTCGTAATAATACTTTAAAAGTGCAAAACTACTTTATTATTAGCTCCTTACCGCCCAATGCAGTTTCATTTTAATTTTGAAGATATTTTAATTCGTACGTTCCGTGACAGGACATCTCATCCAGAATTAGCATTTCTAAGAGGGAACTCAGCCATTTAATTAAAACAAGTGGCATGTAACAATATATGCAAATTATTTCGTCCATTATACATTTTCTACCGACTTCAAAAAGGAGACAGTACTCAATTCGACTGTAGGTTTTTTTTTATGTGTGTTACCTCATAACTTTTTACTGGGCGGACTGATTTTGATGATTCATTTTTATTTGAAAGCAGGTGCTTCACATGTGGTCCCATATAAATTTGATCAAGGTCTGACCAATACTTTTTGAGTTATTCTTAATAATTTATATTGAAGACGGTTGTACAAAATTTTTGATTTTAATTTATATAGAATTAGGTAGAAGCTTAATATGTCTAAAGTAATTAGTTAGAAGTAGAAAGTACATGACTATTATAACCCTCACCAAACCTGAATCTCTCCCCGATAAAGAATCAAAATGTGATTGCGTTTTCACCTAAAATGATCTAAGAATGGTAGGTATAATGATAGTAGATAGTAAGGTAGTCCCTATTTTTTTTATAGGATAAGGGTAACAAACGAGCACACAGTCCACCTGATGGTAAGTGGTTGCTGTGGCCCATAGACATCTACACCTATCTTCGATTACGAATGAAAATGCAGATGCGTTGTCACCCGTGAGGACTAAGATGGAATGCCTCGTTTCCAGTAAAAAGGGTCTCCGGTTCTATACACTCACCATACGAAACACAGCAGCGTTAAGCTGGTATTCTGTGAGAGCGTGTTCCTTCCCCGGTCGAGCCGACCCATTCGTGCTACAACCATAATATAGCTGCAGCATGGCTCTACCACGCTCTACTACCTCTTGCCGGTTGAGTGTGACTGTGGCTTTTTTTAAACATAAATATTTATAATTACAGCCTTTACACGTCCCACAGCTGGGCACAGGACTCTTCTCATTTCTGAGAGGGTTTTAGGGCAAGGAAATATCAGACGTGCTGCCCCAATGCGTGTTGGTGAACTTCACATGTCTTCAAAATATTTTTTTTACTTAATTTTCAGACATGCAGGTTTCCTAACGATGTTTTCCTTCACCGCCTAAAAAGTGGTAAATAAACACTTTTTTATATAGGAGAGGGAACAACCGAGCAAGCGACTCACCTGATGGTAAGTGACTACCGCCACCCATGAACAACTGCAACACCAGGGAATTGCAGATGCGTTGCCGGCCTTTTAAAAAGGAGTAGGCTTTTTTCTTGAAGGTCCCTAAGTCGTATCGGTCCAGATTGCTGATGGTAATCGATTCCACAAGGAAGTTGTGCGAGGAAGAAAACTTCTTCTAACTCGCACTTACTTAAAATTGCAATTAACAATTTGATTGGTGCCGACTAGAATCGAACGGTTGATCGCATACTGTGAAATTTACAGCGATCGCTAACCATCTGGCCTACCACGGCTCTAAATATTTGTAGGCTTTCAATTTTTTTTAATTAATAAATTGGTATTTTTTTTACGTGGTAGAGCCATGCTGCAGCTATATTAGTAGTATAGTTGTAGCACGAATGGGTCGGCTCGACCGGGGAAGGACCACGCTCTCACAGAATACCAGCGTAAAATAGCAGCTCAACGCTGCTGTGTTTCGTATGGTGAGTGTAGAGAACCGGAGACCCTATTTACTGGAAAAGAGGCATTCCATCTTAGTCCTCATGGGTGACAACGCATCTGCATTTTGATTCGTAATAGAGGATAGATGTAGATATCTATGGGCCATAGCAACCGCTTACCATCATGTGGACTGTGTGCTCGTTTGTCACCCTATCCTATTAAAAAAAGGTATCTAAATAGGGAATGTAGTGTACATTTTAACACTTTAAAAATTCAACGCCCCTTCTATCCAAATAAATATTTAATCTTCTAATCGAAGGTTCAGATAGAGTGACTTTTTTCGTGACTCTTCTTGCTTTCCTTTTAAGAAAAAATCTTTGTATTAGTATTTTCACCTATATCGTGGAGGCTGTTTACAAACATAATTTACACAAAGACAAACAAACAGATCCGGAATAATAATTTGTAGGCCATACAAATACTCTTGTTCCTTTAGGGAGTTTAGGGATTCGAACCCGCGGCCTCCAGCACCGCAACTCATTGCTGAGCCACTGCACGACGGACCCGAGGTTCTTATTAATAATATTATATATTGAACTTACCATTGTCGTCAATATAACAGGGTATTAACACGGTTTCATTTTCGTATATCTTGAAAATCACTGGGACACTTTTGAAAACCTTTTCGCAACTGGTAACATTAATTAATATAGACAAAGCTAAAATATTTATCAGCTTTTTAATTTCTAACATCTTTTATAATATATTATAAGAGTAAATTTTGTTAAAGAATGGTTTACTGTTGATTAAAAAAATTATTACGTCCAAAAACAAATAAATTAAATTAAATCTTATTCCTGGTCCTTTAATAGTCTTTCTGTTAATTTTAAATTTGGTTAGGAATTTGCTTTTTATTTATTTAAGATATAGTACTGTCATAAAATACAGTGCGCGCGCCTCTAGTGTCAGAATAAGACTGTATTCCTCTACTCTGCTCAGGCGCATGTCGCGTCACCGGTTACTAAAAAAGTTGAGGACACACTAGGTAAATATTTTATTAACGATGAAAAAAAAAACGAATAAACGAAGTTTTGCATGCAAAAAATAATGAAGCTTTTGGTAAAAAGTAAAAAAAAAACACTTCGGAGTTGTTTTCAGGAGGATGCAGCTGCTTATCTCCTGTTTTAGTTTCCCTCTACTTTCCCTCAAAAACATTCAATATTCTCTCAATATGGACTACCATGAATATGGTAGATATTCTTACCCAGCCTTTAAACGGTTACTATTACGGTCTTTGTGATATGGTGAACTTAAAAAATTAAATAAAACATATTACAGAGCAGAAAGAATTATGATCCGACCAAGACATAATCTTTTATAATATCGCGCTACTTAGTATTGCGTGATATACTAAGACATACATACCTAGTCATATTTACGAAGTACAAATATGAACCGTATGGTATCAGTTTTTTTGAGCCGCCAAAGTTTATTAAGATGTTCTTTTCACATTTAAGTAAAATTTAATTTCGCCTAAGTCCTAGCTTATTATGTAAAACAAAAAAGGATGACGACTAAAATGATGTGTTAATGTCACAAAATCTTTAAAAAACGTTGTACAAGAAGCCAGTTACTTAATTGATTTTTAAATTTCTAAATATGTGACATTTTCTGGAACTTAGCTTGTTAATTTATTTCTACAGATGCCATACAAAAAGTTTTAGTGCATTTTATACCATTGCTGTAACTAAAATAAATGCGTTTTTTTTTTAAATTAAGTTAGTAGGTTAGTGGTAATCGTCGGAAAATAATGTAATAAATTATACTATATCATTTATGTGAAGCCCGTTATTACTACAAAGGCTAAGAATAGCCATTCAGCGGGGAAACGCAACCAGCGTTCTTGGCACGATACCGTGGGGAGTAGGACTGTATGATTATTAAGTTACTAGTTTTAGTTTTTTTTTTTAATTATAGTTTTTAATATTGTATATAGTAAAATATTGTATATTATCTTATGTAAATAAATGTTTTTCAAAATTTAATTCAAATATTCCCTTAAAGAATGCCTCAGTGTGTCACTAACCGATACATATCCCGTCAATTAATTGATAAATTTACCTTTATAAAGAAGCAGGCATTTAATGTAAGATTAGTCATTTCAGCCGCGGCATTTTTATAGCAGCTGTCAAACACAGAGCTGCAAAAGAATTTTAACGAGGGCTATGTTTATAGCGTTGCACTTTCTTTCCTTATCCTAAAACCCTTTCAGAAATGAGAGTAGGCATGTGCCCAACAGTGGGACGTATATAATTTTTAACTTTTGTAAAAAGCAAATTTGCATTTGCATAATCCAAAATGTCGTAAAACACATTTGAAAAAAGGAAGCATCTAAAGCCATGTTAGACTTTAAAAAGTTATATTTCTATCATCATCATCATCATCATTACAGCCCATCACAAGTCCATTGCTGAACATAGGCCTCCCCCAAGGAATGCCACAAAGCAATTATATTTTTATATCACTTATTATATTATATTATTCTCTTTCATGTTCAATTTAACGCCTTAGATCGAGCCTAAATAAATCTATGAATAGAGAGCGGATCTTCTAATCAATAGATTAATGCCGCCATATTTATCGTAATGGCACCCAACAAAATCAATTAAAGAATACAATCTGTGAACTTATAGAATATATTGTGGACAATTTTTTTCTTTCTGCTCTAAAAATAACGAATCGATTTAGTGTTGATTGAGAAATTACTTTTCTCTTATTACATTTAATAATCTACCAGGAGCACATGACCCACTGAGAGGTGAAATTTTCAGATCAACAGTAACAGTAACTACGCTAAATCTTAGTAAGACTGTCTTGATACTGCGTAGTGTAATAGTCTTTATAATAAATAGGAGCCGTGGTAGCTCAGGGGCTAACAGCTCGTAAGTTTCACAGTACGCGGGATGTGTTCGATTCCCGCCGGCACCAATGAAATTGTTAGATACAATTATTAGTGATGATTTACTACGTGCTCAACGATGAAGGAAAATATCATGAGGAATTATTTCGAAGACATGTTAAGTCCGCCATCACGTATTTGTGAATCGCGGAGAACACTTCCTTCCACTTCAAAAACCCCCTCAGAAATAGGAGAGGCCTGTGTCCAGGAGTAGCCTACATAGGCTGCATCTTCAACTTTTCGTTCTAGTTAAGTAATGTCGAATATCATCTTTATGTTTTCTCAATAACACTAAAGTGGTAGATGTAAAAACAATAACCGATAAAAGAAATTAAAAAAAAACTTCCTATATTCATTTACAGCTGTCAAAAAAATTAAACCTACGGTTTTTCTGTATCAACGCTCATTAATAACGCTTATCAAGTATCAGACATTTTTTTCCAATGACTGATTTCGTTAATCACGTCTGCATCGTGTTTTATACCAAAATATTATCTATAGGGCTAATTTTCTTATTACGTGTCGAATAAATTATAACCTGACTAAATATAAAAGTGGAACAATTGAACTATTTTACTTACACGACTGTAATTTTTAACTTATTTACGTTATATCTTAACCTATGAGTAAATTTCACCTGAGGTTTGAAAAAACGTTTCATTTTTTAAAGAATTTATGTGACAAACGAGCACACTGTCCACCGGATGGTAAGTGGTTGCTGTGGCCCATAGACATCTACATCTTCATTTACGAATTAACATACAGATGCGTCGTCAGCCGTGAGGACTAAGATAGAATGCCTCTTTTCTAGTAAAATGGGTCTCCGGTTCTCTACACTCACCATACTAAACAGACTTGATTATATACCAGCGTAAAATAGCAGCTTAATGCTGCTATTTTACGCTGGTATTCTGTGAGAGCGTGGTCCTTCCCCGGTCGAACCCATTCGTGCTACAACTATACTATTAATATAGCTGCAGCAAGGCTCTACCACGTAAAGATCTTAGTATTTATTTAAAAAAAAAATGTAAAGCAGACCGCAAGAATAATCCCCCCCATGCCCTATGTGGTAATCTATGGGGGAGGCATATGTTCAGCAGTGGACTTTGATAATCATGATGGTTTAAGCGTATACTTCATCAGACCAGGTACATAGCTTAAAAGAGTAAAACCTAGTCAGGAGTTTGCTTTAGGGGAGACGACCAAGCGGCTGAAGATTAGTGGAAAAATTGAAAGGGAAAGAAAACAGCTGGAGGTTTTTAAGTGCAACATATTCTGCATTTGCGCTCATAGCCCCCGTCCAGTGACGAAGCTTTACAGAGCTACAGTCGTTTTAGGTGATTCTAGATTTATTAGACCTTTTCCCGACGAGATAGTAATAAATGCGGACGGTATCTCACCGTGTAGTGGCGGTGTAAAAATATCCTCTACCCCATATCATCCTGTGGGTGTCGTAAGATACGACAGAGGGAGACAAACAACGAGATGGGTAGCAACACCTTTCTAATAACGAATAAAAATAAGAATGAACTGCGTTTGCTAACCCCCTAGCCAAGCGTGGCAATTATGGAAAATATATGAGGCAATCTGGGAGGCCCATGTTCAGCAGTGGATTGACTTTAAGTAAGCTGTAATGGATGGATGTATAGAAGATAATCTACCAGGAGCACATGACCCACTGAGAGGTGATATTTTCATATCAACAGTAACATTACAACTATGGCAAATATCCCCCTTATGAGGCAATCTATGGGGGAGGCCCATGTTCAGCAGTGGACTTTAATAGGCTGTAACGATAAAGGTATCCTGCCAAACGGGTTGCTCATTTCGTGAGCCAAATTCAGACATTTGCTTATCTTTTTCTACATTCTATTATGGGTTATTTATAGAGTGTTCTCATCTGGTTAGGCTGAATAAATAAATTCAAGGAAATAATAAATAAACATGAATATATATTTAATATGCTAACATAAATAAATAAATAATAAATAGATAAATAAAATTCTAACCAGATGGAAGCCCTCGGGAGACCGGCGGACGACGCGGGCGGTATCAAGGAGCACCGCCTTCCGCATTTGAGCCCGGAGCGCCTCAGTCGCCTCAGATGACCCGAAAGGCTGACCGGGTTTAACCAGTTTGCAGAGACGACTACAGGAATAATATCGGTCGCCAGACCACATCACATGTCGGTCACCTCGTGAGCCAGGCCCAGATATTTTGTTTTCTTATCTGCTTCGGCTTTCACGAGGTTCTCATCATATGGAATGGTAATGTCAACCAAAAATATCCTTGACTGTGCCCGATCCATCAGCACAATATCAGGCTCATTCGCAAGAATAGTCCTGTCTGTAATTATAATAAGGCAGTTTCCGAGCCACGAGACCGTATTTCAGAGAGAGCTCCTGGTGTAGATCCCTGGCTACTAGGTTGGGTCTGTGCAAATACTCAGAGTTACAAAAGCGGCGAACAACAGGTCTACATTCTATTATTGTTACAATATCTGGGAAAGAAACAAAAAAATAACCAAGATAGCGGTAGATAAACTCGATAATTGCTCCTAAATTTTGATATCTTTCATTAAACTCAATTTATCACAGAGCATACAATAAAATATACAAACACATAACTAGACTGTTATTCTTACTAACAAACTGCTATTATTATTTATAATTGTTAAAAACGCTTCGAGTTAACAGCGATATACATAGGGTTGTCAACGATTTTCAGGTCTAATATAATATTATTGTGACCGAGATGAACTTGTCCAAAAATATAGTGAGTCTGCAAAAAAAAA